CTTGTATTACTTCCCTTCTCACAAATTCCGCCTGTACTCGCAGTTAACCCATCGCTTTCCTGTATCCAGTGCGTTGTTATAGCAGTGTAAATGGATCTTCTTTCACATCGTATGATCGGCGTATCTCTTAAGGCCACCTCTTAGCCCTAACCCGTTTTACTGCACTCATATTATGATTTTACGTGTGAGGTGTGAGGCCACCTTTTCCTCATCATTACTGCTGTTGAGATTCATGATAGCCACACCTACCAAAAATGGTATATTATCTTAAGTATTAAGTCCACTTAATATCACTATTGTGAATCAAGTTTGAGATTATTTTTCTGTTCCCAATTATGCCAGCTAGATAACAATCGACACCTTACAGTTTTAAGTCAGGTTTTCTTTGTAATAATTTCATTTTGTAGTATGATATCTGATCAGCAATCCATTTTCTGACCTAACAAATCACAAGTAAGAAAAGCGTGCTAACAATAAAAAAAACTTTTAATTTAGATTATGTAATAGAAAGCTATTGATGTGATAATGCTGATGTGCTGTTTTTTCGTGTTTTTTTATATGTAACATTTATTTATTCTTTTTTATTTTCTTTTTTTACTTTTGCATTTTACTGTGTATACTAGACTACGATTTATATCATAAATCAAAAGTAATATGTAATATCTTAAGCATATACTTCATTGCTAAAATTTTATATATAGAATATCCATTCAGTTAATTTGTGCATGACATGTTTTGTGGTCGGTTCTATGTACAGGAATACCCTAAAGTTTGCATGTTTATTCAAAAGTAGTATATACAGTATGCTAGGTTATTGGTTCAGCATTGTAGCAGAGAATATGACCACAAAATGGTAATGATATTCATACTGTTATTATCGCTATTAATATAACTGTTATTTTACCATCCTTACTAATGCTATTGTCAGCATTACTGTTATGGTAGCTGCTGGATTACTACTGTTGTGTTCAGTATTATGATACTACAGTTGGTATAAATAATCTCTTGAGAACCGTCACCATTTTAATATCCAACAACGAAAACATTTTTTCCTTCCAATTCGTGTCTAAAATGATAAAGACATAGAGGGAAAGTTAGAGAAGATGATAAAGAGAAAGACAAATGAATCAGAGAAAGGAAGAGAGAGAAGAGCACCGAAAGAATGAACGAAAAGAATGAAGAGAAGGCCATGCTGCCGGAGTCCGTCTGCCACCTGAGTACAGCTAGCAGAGGTCTTCGAAAATGCTTGGATCTAAATCCTCCAGGGACTCGCCGTTGTAACAAGTGGCTTTTGGGATGAGAGCCAGAAGGGCAGGGTTCGTGACAAGCCAGGCCACGTCACAGCCGCATTGAAGAGGGTTTTCTGCAAGGGAAGGACGTGGAGGCATAAACGGTGTTTTGTTTTGACATTTTTCTTTTATAATTATACAGTGTATTGATGGAGAAAGAGAGAGGAATGAGAATGAGAATGAAATAGAGAGGGAGAGAGAAATGAGGAAAAGAGAGAGTGGGAGGCAGAGGCAGAGAGCAAGAAATGAAGCAAGAACGAGAGAGGGGGAGTTCGGGTAGGAGAAATCGGCAGAATTAAAGGAGAGAAGGGACCAAGAAACAAGCAAACAGAATAGAAAGAATGAGAGGAAGTAGAATAGAGGAAGAACTCACCATTCAGGTAGACAGTAGCTCCTCCTTCAAGAATTGGTCGAAAGACGTCCTCCTCCAAAACCGAGAGTGAGTTTCCATTAAGATACAGCGTCCCCGCATTGAGACCTAGAAAGTTGACCTGCCTTTGTTACAAGATATATCTATTAACCTGCGACCATCAGCGTTATTTATAGCATATCCATCAGAGAAACAAAACCCAAAGAAGGAAGAAAATGAGAAACAAATTGAAGCCACCAATAAGAGTCCAAATCAGTGCCATACCTGTAATAGCATTAACTTCAATATTGCTGATGATATTCGACCTCAAATTTATATATCCTTTGTCTGTACTGATGAATGCTATTGCGCCTTTGGGGATGTTGCTTAGAGTGTTATCGGAAAGATCTACATAGTTGAGGAGCGGAAGATTTGCGAAGGTTTCTGTGGTAAGCCAGAGAACGGAAATAATAGATGTATGTACTTATGCCGACATACATGTACAGTATAAACGCAAGCTTTCTCTCTCTCTCTCTCTCTCTCTCTCTCTCTCTCTCTCTCTCTCTCTCTCTCTCTCTCTCTCTCTTTCTCTCTGAAAGTGATGACTATGTACTAATAGTCAAATTATATATATATATATATATATATATATATATATATATATATATATATATATATATATATATATATATATATATATATATATATATGTATATGTATATATATATATATATATATATATATATATATATATATATATATATATATATATATATATATATATATATATGTATGTATATATATATATATATATATATATATATATATATATATATATATATATATATATATGTATGTATGT